AGAGAGAGAAAGAGAAAATTGTTTAACTGTATTTGTATCAAAATTAAATTGTACTCTAATCTAGAGCTGACGATTTTACTACTTAATAGAAAATTTGTGTTAGAAAGCGGAAGAACTAAAGAAATAAAAATAATTGTCATAACTTTGAGTTAATTTCAATTGAGATTAAACTGAAAATGTCACTCAATTATTAAAATTATTGAGTTTATTAAGACCACAGAATTTTACTTTTCTCAAAAAATATAAAAACTTGAAAATAAAGATTATAATAATTACTTTCCATAAAAATACTTTTTTAATAAAAACAATGATTAATTTTATTTCTGTCGATTAAATTATAATAATTGAAAATTGATATCATTTAAACTATGAAAATGTAGAATAGATCTCAATACGTTTGTGAATATAATTTTCTAATTATATTAAAATTCTTCTTACTACTGAACTTACGATTCGAAAGCTATTACGATCTCGATATTTTTATATTAAAATCTTCGACTTTAATTAATCTACAGAATATGCTATTAAAATATCGTATAGTGTTCGTTGTGTAAGATACTCCGTATAGATTCTCGTTCGTAATAAAAGATTACACGTGAGCGTGTGGATGGTGAGAATGTGATCGTGTATAAATGTTTGATAATTATATATTTTCTGACAAGACACCTACGCCTCGCGTAGATTTACAGAGGCCGGTTTCGTGCCGGTTACGTTAAAGTTACATTCACCTGCGCGTAAGGGGGTGAAATACTCACGTGAAAGCCAGGTCCTATTACACCACCTGCAAAGGTGGGTGATAAACGCCTCCTGGACTGACTCGTCCGGTCATTAAGACTTATCGCCGGATTAACGCTTGGCTTATAAGGCCTTACTTCAAACGCGCGCTACCGCGCGAGTACGAATAATTACGCCCGCTAAAGCTGTACCATCCTTTGGCTCGAGGTTATCTTTTTAGTAAAATCTTTTAAAAAATATGGTTTCAAAAAATTACACAACTACGTGTAATTTATAATCTCGAAACGAAAGAAACATTTACGGTAGCTTGTCTTAGTCGATTTTAATTAGCTCTTCCTTCATATCAACCTCATGTTAAAATGCATATATCACGTTTCTGCATCTACTATACGCGATATCTGGCGTCGACACTAATTAACAGCGAAACTTTAATGAAACGCTTGCAAATTAATGTACGTAACAACATGTGCAAAATAACAAATACACAAAATGTTGATGCGGTATCGTAACTGATAATGGGTGGATATACCTGATTTGCTGTCGCAAATTGTTCATTTATCGCTATTAACAAAACAGATAACGCGTTCATATTAAGCATTAGCATTAAGTACATGCGATCTAATTACTCGTGCGCGATGCGCACTTTAATAAGCGCGCTGTAGCAAAAAATATCGGAAATGCAATTAACGGATGCGGCATAAGGCACATTAAAATATGTAACGCATAATTATAATTTCGATATATCGATTACGAGAATAATTTTATATAAATCCGATACTCTCTGAACCCGAGACCGCGCCAATATATGTATAAAATTTAATAAAATGCATAATTAATAGCTTTATATTATCTCATCTTATAACTGAAACTACACAAAGTATCTTTTCTCGTTAAGTTCGTTATAGTTAATAATTGCGTTAATAATAATAATAATATGTAAAAGGAATAATATGATTCGAATTTGTTGCAGGTTTCGCCGGATGGTAACCAGACGAATTCCATCTTGACGTTTCAGCCCACTCTATTAGATCACGATAAAGTTATCACGTGCAGGGCTGAAAATCCTAAAATCCAACGCGGCATTGCGGAAGATACATGGAAACTGAATGTTTTCTGTAAGTATGCATTCTCGTTTATAGATACAAATGAAGAGAATTACACGCAAGCGATGAAAATTAAAGATCATTCAGTAATTTTCATAGAATCGCGCGATTGCTCAATAAAGAGAATGTTCAATATGTTTTGATGTGCAATATGTTTTATCTTGCATTTATTAATAATAACAATAATAACGTGATGCATGCGTTTTGTTGAATATTATTCCCGACGACATATTACCGTCTGCATAATCAGAATAATTACAATACACTGCATATACGATATTAGTACAGACAGTATAAAAAAGAATTGGACGAGGATATCAAATCACAAACCGATAGCTAGGGGTAGACCGCGAGTTTACATACTCGTAATGGCAATATGATATGCTCTGCGAAGCCGGCATTATCATCATTGATATTATTATTCATTAACACACCGTCGTCAATATTATGCGAGCACGCCGACAATGCTCCAGATCCAACATTATTACACAACAATAACGCGCGATCATTTCTCTCCTTTATGCCTTGCCGCGCAACAAAAACAAAGGAGTAAAGAATATTTCTCAGCGTATAATAAACGCTCGGTATTCGCTTTTTATTTTTATACGACTATGAAAGTAAACACAGATCTCATCGGAAATGAAATTGTTACGCGTACTGCAAACATTTCTATGTTATCGTAGCAAAAATTTCACTTTAGCGGGGCTCGCGCTCCCACTGTATTCGTCTGGAATTCTCTTTTTCCTTGTAAAGGATGTAAAATCTATATTTGAGAATATATAACTGACGGCGCAAAGAAAAACAAACAGTTTCGAAAATTTGGATGCGAATTGTCGCGCGTTAAACTCGCGTATCGCCACGCAAAAACAAGTTGGCAGTGATTCATCAAGTCCTAAACTCATAAACGCGTGTCGCTCTTAGCGCAATCGACACATCGAAAAATCCGCGTGCACGACATACAGCGCGTACAGCTGCGTTTGTCTGTGTACGCATATGTATGCATCGGGCAACGGGTAAACGGGTTAAAAGCCTGGCAGGCCGAAACAAGACCGTCGATATAGATTACGTTCGTGCAAACGCGAATGTAATCACAATAACGAGACGTCAACGACGGCGGCCAAAATGGAACGTCCGGCGCGGCGGCGATTTATTCGCTTGTCGCGGCCGCGCTGCCGACATCTCGCGAATTCCAAAACCCCGATACAAGGCAAGGCAAGTCTATTGTTTTCGATAAACAAGTTATATCTTTGCAAATGAAGATTCGTCGTAAATTTACGTCGTAAAATTACGTTTAATAGTTGCTAAAAATTTAATTCTCCGCGAATATGACAATTAAAATTAAATAGATAAGTTTTATACGTTATGCGTGCTGTAAAAAAAGGAGCCTTTTGATCGACGTCTAACAAAAATAGGAAATACAAAAATAATTTTTTTAGAATAAATTTATATGTGTGCATTTAAAAATATATAAATTTAAAACTTCTAATTATTTTTCTTAACACTACATGATTTTCTGTCTTCTTTCTTATAACAATCAAAGAAAATTTTGGCTTGTTTAAATTTTGTATACATATGTTTTCTTTAATTTTTAATTGCTTAGGGCTTAGAGGATATTGATTTGCGGGGCTGGGAGGTATTTATGCGACAGATAGTCTTTTGTAAATTACGAAAGTAAATAATCAAGATTATTTTAATAACTTACGTTACGTATTTTCTCCTTACAGTTGTTCCGATCTTGCATTTGCAACTTGGTTCGAATATGAATCCGGACGACATCGAAGAAGGCGATGACGTATATTTCGAGTGCAAAGTTCGTGCGAATCCGGATGCCTACAAAGTAGTGTGGAAGCATAATGTAAGTAAAACTATTGAGAAAGATTTTCTATATCGTAAATGCATTTGTGCATATTGTTTATATATGTCTATATATTTTATTTATAATTTTTAATCGGCGGAATATGGTAAAAACACATATTGCCCAATATTGTTATTTAGCAATAACGGATTAATAGATAAAATTAATTAATAAATAAAAATGCACTGTATATATATGTATATAAAACAATTGAATGTGTGTATATATACACGCAACACAAACGAATTGAGAAAGCTCAAGGCTTGAATTTGAACAATGACCGCTGGATTCTCTCGAGTGATATATTTGTGCTTGAATAGTTCCGACTACACCTAAAACTGTTGGTTCAGAATAATGGCTATTGCAGTTGAAACCGACAAATAGGAAACAAACTTTCTGTATGCCTAAAACACCTCTGTTACTTCTCTAAATATTATCTAACTTGCGGACTGTAATGTTCACCCCCGTTACGCAAACATAATACAATTACAGCACACAAGAATCTTAATATAATCTTAAATGCATCTTTCTTAATACAATCTTATATTAGCTCGTCCTTTATCTTAATTAACTTTTTCATTTGTACAGCATAAAGACGTGCTGAAAGTTGTTTTACCTTGCTGACTGTTTTACGACCGTTTTCATTAAAACTGTTCTAACGATTTTTTTTCTCTGTATAAAATACACGTAATCAATTTTATTTCCATGAATTTCACCCCGGAGATGGAGAAACATTAATGTAATTTTTTCTTGCACGTAATATGCGAAAACTTAATCTATGCTATTTCGAAGATCACTACTGTACGTGAAAGTATATTACGATATCTTGATATAAATGGTGGTATAATTTTCCGTCGACGTCGTTTTTATGTTCGCGTTATATTCACACATCTCATTACGCGTCTCTTCTCCCTCCTCTTTTCCTGTTTTTCGTCGACGTCTATTCACATTTTGCGTCCTTGCCACCTTTGCTGACGCTGACGTCATTATATATTGTTTAATATAGTACGTTATATTGTGGCGCGCGCGAGGCGTTCATAAATGTTTTGTAAATACGCAAAATGTCCAACTTTACCGATGTCGACGTTGGCATCGCAGAGTTCATTAACTCAATATTAATAAAACCCCATTTAATTAAATAAAATCCCACCGTCGTTCTGAGTGAAACACATCTATCGCCGAGTTATCTCCACATCGAATGTGAACTCTGTGTTACGTCGACAGAGTCTACAGATTGTATTACAGATTATACTGTTTTATACACAAAGTGCAATTTTACATTCTTTCTCTTCGTTCCGGCAAGTTTAATCATCGATCGATTAATACAAGCGCATATCCATAAAACGATAGGCTGTTTTCGAAGTAGGCAACATCGGCGTACATTAACATGTAGATTGGAAATAATAACCGAAGTACTTGGTGAGAGATATCACGATGGCACTTGGATCTAATCGCGAATGCACATTGTTCCAGGGGCATGTGATTCAGAATAACGCGAAGAACGGCGTTATAGTCCAGCTATACGGCTTGGCTCTCCGAGAGGTGAATCGGTCCCAAGCCGGAAATTACACCTGCATTGCCAGCAACGTCGAAGGCGACGGCTACAGCAATATCGTAGAGCTTAAGATCATGTGTAAGTAGCCATTATCGTTGATCGCGTTATCACTGTCGTACTAGAAACGCACGCGATGCGACGAGCATTTCGGTTGTATGAAAAATTTTATTCCGAGTGAAATCTCTCTTGATACCGCTCGACCGCTCCTTTGTTGAAAAGAACGTTTCCACCTCCTTGCTCTTGCTCTTTACGAAGTCGATCTCGATTATTCTATTTTCCGTCCGAAATCCCTGTAATTGTTTCAAAGAGGCACTTACGACGTCGTCGTAATCTCAATATAATACAATGTAAACGATGCGGCAACGTAACCGATGACTGACATTTAAATAGAGACGTTATTAAGCGCCTTCCAGAGAATGGCTTTCGGGAGAATCGCGACTGTCTATCCCCCGTAATTGGTCGCCGGGCTTATGAGACTCCGAGGATATTACTCGTGAATAAACGTCAAACATGAAAATGTCGGCATGATTATTCATTAAAAACATAGTTGAAAGGGTTGAACAGCGAACGGAATAGAAGGGAGGGGACTGGATGTAACGAAGAAAAATAGGACGATCCACAACGAACCAACAAATTATTCCGAACCGGCAAACTCCGATTTCCCTCCCTCCCCTCTTTCCCCGTCCGGCCTTCGTTTGCGCCGCGAAAAATGGGGAAACTATTCGAGCGAACGGGCGAATAATGCCCATCGATCTTCCGTCGAAAAGCCGGGCGATGGTCATTCCGCTTCGTGCCGCGTCCCTCCCCTCTCCCTCGCACTTTTAATAAATGCGTGTAAACTCCACGGCTCCGATCTGCATGTCGCATGCTGCGGCTTATATTATTATATCTACTTTTATCTCGGTAACGTAAATTTTTATATCTCAGAGATATACCTGTCAGATATTTATTTAACGCGCGCATAAGAAGGGAGCTGTCGAGCTGTTCTTTAGCCAGTAAATATCAAAGACGAAAGTAAGAAAAATGACAATTATATCTCAATATTCTTGATATTATAAACAAAAGAAAATAATACCAGTAAATAATTTTAAAATGTTTTATCCACTAAAAATTACTAAAATTCTCAAACTTTGCATTTTGAATGAAAGCAGTAACTGCCGTTGATTAACAAAATCGCCTATCCGATTTTCTCTTCCAGACAAGCCGATCTGCGTGCCGGATCAGAAGAGAATCTACGGGGTGGCGAGACACGAGGACGCTCACGTAATATGCAGGGTCGAGGCGTTCCCGCCACCGGAGAGCTTTCGTTGGACCTTCAACAATACCGAGGAGATGGTCGACGTGCCCCAGGCGCGTTACAAGAATTCGACCAGACATACCCAGAGTGTCCTCATATACCGGCCGGTTTCGGAAATGGACTACGGCACCGTGTTGTGCTGGGCGAGCAACACGGCCGGTCAGCAGAAGAATGCCTGCATATTTCACATCATTCCTGCGGGTATGTACGCACGTAGCGATGCACGTTCCCTCTGAATCGCTAAGGATTTCCGGGAAAAGTTCCGGAGAAGCGTTCTGCGAAATGCGCATACCGAGCGTTTCGCAACGCCGTGCCGGAACAACATCGTGTCTGTTGCTAAATCGGTGTTTCGCAAATAATTTTCATTGAGATAGAGAGAGAGGGAAGACTATAAACAATGTTAATGACGCGTACAGGCAAACCGGAAGCTCCGTACAACTGCACGCTGACCAACCAAACCACCGAATCACTCTCGGTGGAATGCACCGCTGGGTTTGACGGTGGTCAGCCTCAACACTTCCTCCTTGAAGTGTTCGATCAGCACACGGGAATTCTGCAGGCCAACATCACGTCTAGAGATAATGCGGCTTTCACCGTAGAGAATTTAGAACCGGGCAAGGTTCTGAATATGATTCTGTACGCGGTAAACGCGAAGGGAAGAAGCGATCCCATACTACTGGAAGGTTTCACGCTCAAAGTCGCCGAGAAGCAGACTGGTAAGTTGTGCTAGAAATATTACGTCGGAAGATGTGGAAAGCTCCGAAAGTTGTGACAAAATATTTCTTTCGCAAAGTATTATTTGAGATAATCGAAATTAATAATATTACATCGAAAAATTTAACGCGTGAAAATATTAATTTTACTAACACATTATAATAAACTATTTTTGCGCCCTAATTACTGCGCGTGGCTCATATTGCTCTTTGCTTTATTTATTTTTATTTTTATTTGTATTCCTTAAAGCTTTTTATATCTGATGAAAATATTAACTTTTAAAATGATAATAAGATAATAATCCGTGTTGGTCGAAGAATCTTTATATCCGTACAGAATACAATCACAACGACGTTGCTTGGATCTAAAATTGATGGCATTAATGATGTTCGACAATATCCGAGTCAGGTCGCTTCGAGGTCTGACGTTATCGATCGTACCTACGTCACCGAAATAAGTAATTTGATAGAAGCGTCCGAACAAATTATCGGCGCAACGCTATCCCATAAATTATGAGAATAGCCGGGAGGACGTTGGGTTAATCGAATTAGCGAATTAAATTGAACGGACCCGTGCGGATTGTCCCATGTAACGTTTTAATCCGTTCATCCGGCCCGAATCCCCGAGTCGAACACGATATACCGCCTCGTCGTTTCTCGCAGCTAAAGACCGCATGGACCATACGAAAGGTTTCACCGCGAAAATTGAGTACCTGAATCGACAAAATTCAATCGACGGCATACAAACACATAAGCACGCACGATCACCTGGACGGATATTACGCAGATTAGATTTACGTTGCGTGTGTTTGTGTGTGTGTACACGTGGGATGTGGATTGTTCTACGGAACGACCGTTCTCTGCGAGTAGTAATCTATTCCGACGTTTTCCAATCCACTTACACGAAACGGTTTCGGCCAAAAATTGACGGCGGTTCTGGCGGTGCGTAAAACGCTACGGCCAGATTTCCAAAGGGTCCGCATACCTATATGCTCTCTCCGAAATACGAATGTCGACGTGGCTCGTTGAACCGGGTGGCGGTACTTATTTTCTCGACCCAATGCCAAGGAGATTCGGTGGGAAAGACGGAGAGAAATTTCTGTCCCGTCAAGGAGATGGTAATATTTGCAAAGCGCAAGCAGTCAGAAACAGGTATATCATGAGTAATTACGAGAATTAATCTCGCCGTCCACCTGTAATTACGAAAGTGGGAAAGATCTATGAGAGCAGCGTGAAACTTTCTATTCCCGCGAGCGATATAATCACTCCGACGACCAGATCTACACGGTAACGCGTTGATGGAGTCTGTACGATTATTCGTCGGAATAAAACCGCGGAAAATTGATACAGGGAAATTGATCGTTCGGTCCGCTCAACATCCCCACCTCTCGCGCTCGCAAATATTTACATTCGCGTACGATTCTCGGTAAAATTCTGGCATCTCGGCGCACCGAGAGTAGTAGCACCATGCATTTATATTTCACCGCGGAAACAACGGCGTCTCGTAAAGGAGGAGTGATAGAGAGAGAGAGGAGGAAGTACAACTCACGACTTACCGGATGCTCCATAAGAAACGCAAACCGCGCGCGGAATTACCGGCGAGATCCTACGCGGGTTGAGCCCGGTCCAGATGCCCGAGAGAATGGATCTCGTCGAATCCATCCCTCGCTAGCCGCATTCATCCCCTAGATTTCTGGCTGGTAGGATCTCGACCGACGAGAAGAGGAAGAGATTCGGGATATATCTCCCTCTAGAACGGATATACTCGACTCCGACATACATACATACGTACATATATACATGTATATTTATATACACGCATGTGTGTGTATATATATCTTGGTCTGAGACGAATTTACAAGTGAAATTGCTCTTTCGGTCAGTTTCCACGGTTCAGGCGATTCAGGCGAGTGCACATCCGCGACGTGATGTATATGTACACCGGGTATATAAGCCGGTATACGCGTATGCGGGCGGAATGGTCGGTTCGAAAATCGATCCACTCGCCGCGCGTATGAGAGAAAGAGAGAGAAAGAGAGAAAGAGAGAGAGGCCCGGCGAGTTGTGAAACTTTAATAAAATTCCCGGACCAGCTATCTCTCCACGTCGCATCGTCCGCGCACCGTCGTCGCCTCGTCTCGCTCGCGCGTATCTTCTTTTCCCCGAGAGAAAGCGCGGAAAGGCTCCAGATTCCACGAACATCCGATCTCACACGGGCCATGCTAACAGGAGGAGCTTCTAAAATCTCGGCTCCTCTCCTCGTCGTCGACTCCCTCGTGCTCCCTGATGTGCGATGTAAAGTACAAATTATACATGGCCAAAGGTCGCATCGGCACAAACCGCACCGGTGCAGCCTTTGTGCATCTAAATATATGAAAACGAAAAACAGGCTGATGCACGACACCTATCGCATTTTTTATTTTTAATCGATCTGAAAAAAAGTGAAGAGAGAGAGAGAGAACGTTCTATTTGCGCGATACGATCAAATGCTCGCGACGCGGCGAGAGCTTAATTCCATTTACTATTATTCGCAAACCTTCCGCGGTGCGGAAATTTCTGGCTTACGGCTGCTGTATTGTATCGCGCGGTTCGATAAATATTATTCCGGTAGGAGGGTGTATTATTAAAAGTTCTCTTCCGTGTCACGCGGAAAATAAACAAGATTCGATGCAGGGCAAAATGTAATGCGTTACATACAGTATCATCGATATCCAATATAACACAATATTCTCGTGTAAAATCAGTTGAGTATGATTTTGCAAAAAGATTTTCACGCACTATCAGAAAAATCAAAGACAAAACAGCGATTGTCACAAATAAAGAAAGTTAAATTAAAAGTTAAAGTATTAAATAAAGTTTCCAGATGGAGTAGTGTTTTTCTAAAAGAAAGCAATGATAAATGAAGATTACAAATAAGCGCTGCTGCTGTGCTATATCATTTTCTTCATAAATTTCTATGTCCTAAAAATATTCATTTTCATCGAAAAAAAACAAGTATCCTTGAAATTTGAATGATTTCTTTGTATTATAAATTCATTTTACTCGTCTTATCGCTTTAATGTTTTACGAACGTTTAAATATCTTTGCACGAGACCCCAATAAGAGAGGAATTTTGCATTCTCTCTCAGTATACTAAAATCAAGTTAGGTATGCGAATCTGTGATTTACAATTTTACTGATAAAGAGACCGTACAGAAAGAACAAAAAGCATCGAACAGAAACGTATTTTTAGGAATCAGTTAAAATTTAAGACAAAATAGGGGAAAAGCAAAGAGGTGACGAAGAAAGGTAGATGGCAGGTAAATATCATGGATACTCGGTGCACTTTCGCCTTGATTAAAAATTAACGTGCACTTTGGCTGTGCATCGGAGCACGGAGTAAAAACACTCGGTCGCTCGTGACTAAAACGAGTGGCAATTACGAACGATGTCTCTCGGGAGGGGGACCCGGGCTAAGGAAAGAGATTAAAAAACGGACAGGTAGAAAACGATAGCGCGCGCGCGCGCGCGGGCGCGAGCACGAAGAGAAGACGTTACGGAAGAGACGTGGAAAATTAAACGTCGCCCGGGACGGTGTTTAAACGTGGAGAGATATCAAAAGGATTCGAATTCATTAATCTTAGAAATGGTAGGTAGGTTGGTAGTCAGACGGCTCCATTCTCGCGCGCAGGCCAAATATCTCGAATCTTTTTACGGCGTAATGCAACTTTAACTCGTTTAATCCGTTTACCCTCGGCAGCCCGTCTGGAAAATTGTCCCGCCGCTACTTTTCTCGCGAGTTGCTGCTTAGTTTATTTCATCTCGCGTGTGAGTGCACCGCAGACAAAGGCATCGTTGTACGCGAGTACACCAGATATATTTGCTCCGCAATTTTATTTCGATCTGTTTATAACGTGTTTGAGATGATATTTAGAAAAATCGCATCCTTTTAATTCATCACACGTACGAAGAATCTTGTATCGACATACTTGCACGAGAGCAGTGCGCGTTTTGTTCACAGGTACTCAGGTACCCTTCGAGTTCACCCCGTTACTCGGGGGTCTGATCGGTGTGGTCGCTGCACTTTTGTTCGTCACCGCCACCATTCTAGCCGCGCTGAAAGTGAGGAGCGAGAGACGAGCTCAAAGGCCAGGCGATTTACCTCTAAAGAAGGCCACCGCGCCAAGTTCCGAGGACCTTTACGACGCTGACGACAGAAATCCGGACGTTGTGCCGACCAACAAAGGTATGTCTCCAAAAATGTCTTTGACGTAACGTAAAAGTTCGATTTAAAAAAAAAAAACGCGGATATCGATATTTTAAATGTATTCGGAAAAACTGAATCGCGCGCACGCATTTCGAACAAATTTATCTCACATTTGCCATTTTTACTGTCAAATCGTTTAATATTTACGTTGTTTGACGGTAAACTTTATACACCGGGAATGTTTAAATAAAAAATTTGGAAATATCCTAAATATACATATATCCGGCGTAAAGCGCACGCTCTGAAAAATTCGGACAATGCACGAAATTATTTAGCTGCGTAAATCAGCATGCAACGCCTGTCCCGTATACAACGACGAGTAACGCGTAACGCAGCGATACGTCGATCGAGATTCGTATTTGTCCTGAAAATTTCAAACGGATACGGTACCCCTTTGCGTCCTATGATCGAAGAACGAGATGAAATGCAATGTACTCCTGCTGCGACGATGCATCCTACCTTTTGACTGCAGCAAAAATTTGCATTCACGAAAAACAAATCTCGTATTTTTTGAAAGATTCACGACTAATGTCCTTTTTCGGTTTAAAGTCGTAGACTCATACGAAAATTTATTACCGCGTAAACATCATGATAGAGAAGAATGAAAATGACATATAATCATCTTTCTTTATAATATTAAATATTTAATTATTTTCATCACATGCGTACGTGTGTATGTGAATGAAATAGTATCTGGTTATTCCACTTTTCTCTATGTACGCTTTGGCGAATTTATTTTAGAGAACCGAGTTTCCAATTTGATCTGTAATTTAAAAGAATCGGCCGCGCGGAAACGAGTTCGCTATCCGTTTAATTCCGTTGTTTCGTCCAGTTCTATTCGATCCATTTTTACTTACAATTTTTTTCATAAAATGTAATTTTATTTGTAACTCTTCATAAGGGAGCACACATAACATTTCTAACATTTTTAAATTTTTTATAATTTTTCCATTTTTTATCTTTAAATAAATATCTATGCAATAGACAAATAAATGATATTTAATTAAAAACAAATATTAAATCAATTTAAAAATACAATTATTCGAACAAACTAAATGTATGCAAAAAGTAACAAGAACGAGAGGAATAAAGTTAACGTTGCTATTCCGGGAGTTTGACGTTCGATTCGACATGGATATTTTATCAGCTACATTGCCGTTGGCTTTCAAGCGTAATGCCTGATTGACAGCGATCGCGAACACTTGGGTAAGTGTACTCGAGACCGGAAATTCAGCGGACTCTATTGCGAGTGCAACGCACCGCGATTCGTTAACAACATCGCGCTACAACTATGCTATGCGTCATTACATCGTTCGCAATAATGCGCGGGAATGGCAGTAGCGGTTATGAATCGAGTATATGGTAACTATAGAACTTAACCCCTGACTTGTTAATAAATTACTCGGCCGATTACAAGGCAGACTTGTTCACCAACCTCGCTTATGCGAATCCGATACGCAACGTTCGAATGGTTACAATCGCGCTGGCGAGCTTTGTTATCGTAATTCTGCGATACAATCGTGAAGGAATTGTTTATAATTCTTTTCGTGTAAAGAGTTGTCTCATTTTTGTTTCATAGATTTTTTAAAGCGAATAACAAAATATCGATCGACTTTATCCGCGACGAAAGTAAATTATTATTTCCTTTATATAATTATCAGACATTTCACTAGTTATATTCGCGAAATATATATTTGGGATGCTAATTTGTCGTTCAAACAAAATATTCAATGTTAATCTAATGAAGAAAATTACTCTGGACGCGATATTACTTAGTTAATTATTTAATCACGATCGATGCTATATATCTGTTTAGGTACAAATTACTATTTAATTAACATATCGCATTAGCGTATCGCTCCTCGGTAAATTAAGCCACGTATCGATACATTCGTAATGCTTTATAGTTATTAGTTTATTACGATAAAGTTCAGTGCATCATCACGATGTAAATTAATGATTAAATTGGTTTAATAGCATACAACGAATACATGTTACATTGCGGGTTTTTTTTTATAAGTAATATAATAAATTCTGTGAATAATTTTCGTGGCTGAGGCGCCGCTTTTTGTGTAACATGTCTAATAATAATTCTTACTAAAATAGACAGTATCGATAAAATACCGCGTAAGTCTAGCATACCTAATGAATGTTAGTACATTCCAATGATATTCATAAGAAACGAAATGTTCCATCTATTTATATAAACATTTTTTTATACATTATTTGAAAATTATAAAAAGACTATGTATTTATTCTATACATATTGTGAGTATATATGTCACACAAATATATTTTTATCTTTTATAAATATCACGCGCTTTACCATTTTATCTGAAAAGTTCACGTTCACTCACGATACACGTTTTATCGATTTTCATAACCGATATTTCGAGATACCGTTTGAAAAACAGGCACAAACTTTTCAACAAAATCATACTCGATAGTATTTCGTCGCGGAGCAGAGCGGGGAAATTTTTCATGTGTGCTTGAATTGAAAGATTCAGATTATCAGCTGACCGGCTCGACTTCCGGCACGCCGTTGGCAACGCAAAACACACCGGATGGTCTTCCACCGTCGTCCCTTCCGGCCCAGCAGACGAATAATCACCTCCAAGGACTTCCCGCCTATTCGCATAACGACTACAGCAATTATCCAACCTTGCCGGTAAGTAACGTGCGACACGGAAGTTCTTTTCTAACGAAATTTATTAATTTTCTCGATTTTATCTGCGAAAGAATTAACGTCCGACGAAACGTTGATTCACATCCCTTTCTTCTCTTTTTATTATCCATTAATCATATGACGTTCTTTATGGATTAAAATGATGTACATCGTACATAACTTTATTTTAAAGATCTACTGTCACATATAATATAAATATTAATAAATCTTGACACATCCCTTTCTTCTCTTTTTATTATCCATTAATCATATGACGTTCTTTATGGATTAAAACGATGTACATTGTACATAACTTTATTTTAAAGATCTACTCTGTCACATATAATATAAATATTAATAAATCTTGGTAGGTAAAATCTTGTAGGAACGTGGAAATTGAATAGCACTTTGTATATGAAACACATACACATACTTTAGCGAATATAACCGCGGCGCATGCAAAAGCCAATTTTCCAACAAACTAACGATTCCCTTTAGATTCCGTGTTAAATTATACTTTGTTGTCCTATTCGGTGCATACTCATGCCATATAGTTGGTATAGCCATTATATGTAAATGGATGTTCTGATTGCACGAGACGCAAGTGAATGCAGCGAGTATCGTTTGTAGCAAAGAGGAATTTAAAACAATTAAAGTCGAAATGGTTTAAATCACGAGAGTTTTGTTAGTTCTGCAAGAAGCGTTTTAATAAAATTAATAGGTTTATCCAATGAGATGGGAAACTGCAAAGTGGAGTGCAAAGAAACGGAAGAAGCGAGACAGTTCGCCGAATCGCGCCGTTGTCGTATTCTGTCGCGTCGTTCGCCTTTTCCCTTCGCGATAAGCTTCGGCCAACATTTTCGAGAAAGTCCTCCGAGCGGTGTAGTTTGAAATAACAGTATCCATCCGGAGAGGATGGCACCCGGGCTGCGTAAAGTTTCAACCGGGAAGCTTCCAGCAGTTCGAAACTAGAAAATTGCACTGTCCACGTTTCTTCCCGATTTTGCGAAACATTCCGAGGTCGAGGAAATATCCTAAATGCCGAGATACGGAGACAGACAGTAGAAATGGTAATATTTTTCCGAATAAAATTATTTCGCACCCAGTACAATATCGTTAATCGGCGGATTGTAAAGGCAAACTTTTACGATCACGATGACAAATGATCGGAATTAAAACCCGCCCTTTTTTCATTACCTTCACGCGCGTTTCCTCTTTCAAATTTTCCTCGATCTGCTACTCGAGTTCCTTTCGTCACGATTCGCTGAAACTTCACCCTCAATTTCACACCAAATTAATTGCTAATTACCGTTGGGATCTAAAGTTCTGTTAGTAAAACCTCGGTAAGAACAAAACTCCAGAGTGGAAAACTTTGATTATCGCTAAGAATTTTCGTATTCCATTTCACCTTCAGTTAATTGTTCTTTTTTTATCATTTCCAATTGTTTCAATCCTTTTGCTAAATTTGAAAATTCTTCGGACATCGGCAATACGATTTAAAATTTCTCGTAACTATCGTATAGGAGATTGTCAGAGTTTACAAGCTCTCGCGATAAATTATACATTCTTATGGAAAATTGAGAGCCTGATTGTGTAGTAAAAGGTAGCATCAGTTCGAGTTTGTAAATCCAAGCAAAACTCGCATTTCTTCTTTCATTAATCCTTTGCGAGATAAAATCCAATAAAGTAGTCCGCTCGCTGCGAAAACAACTTGGTCTACGTCTATGCCTTTCCTTCCTGTGTTTCATCGCGAGGGAACATTCCCCGTGCTGTTTTGCGTCCAATTTATAGGAAATGGCGTCGGGCACTCGAGGGTTTCCGTCCTAAACAGTCGAAGGAACTCCCGCCGTCAAAAGTTTCCGTGATACGAGCCAACTAGTCCGGGCGGTCTCTTAGGAATATTCAGGAGTGAAAATTTCGAAAGTTAGACCTGTCCGTATTATCTAAGTCCCGGGAATAGGGAAAATGCGCCGCGAAAACTCTCCCTTTAGTTTCTTAGGAACGCTTTGGTTCTATCTCGAAAGTTGGCTGCGTTTCGCGTTGAGTTGCACGGGATTATTTAAATGCTCGGTCGTATATGCATTATCCCGGTTGCATTTACTTTAGCGAAGATTACGCTGCGCATACACATCTATATAACTCAATGTAATATACGCTAATGTAGTGAAATTAGCTTAATCTCCTGTTCCCCACGTGTCATTAGATATCCGAGCCGGACTTGTTGCGTAATATACGACCGATTCGATCGATCGAAACAATATGCACGCTGCAATCGTAATCGGATTCAAGGCTAATGTGGAATTCAACGTTTATCGTATGATCCAATGAATCTCATTCAATTGGAGTTGACTCTTCTCTGTGTTCTCTATCGTATTTCATACTAACAGCTAATGTAATTCTATCTTCGATCGCAACCATTACTATACTTATATGATTTTGACAATCACGCTATACGATATTCAATTTCGTATACGATATTCAATTTTTATAAAAAAGAATAATACAATTCTTTTTACGGCAACACAAAAGTCTCTCTCTCCGAACAGTCTTTGTGTAGCGTATCCCAATTTTCTTTTTTCCAGTTATCCGGCGAGGTGACGTATGCCGAACTGTGCCTGGCCAGACCCACCACCCTTTCGACCCTAGCGACCGACGCCAAATTGGCCAGCCTCGGCGGCGGAGTCGGCGGTCTGGGTGGTCTTCCGGGCTACGGCGGTCTCGGGGTAATCGTAGGCGGCAAGCCGTACACGAAGGAAGCCACCGTCTACGCGTGCATCGATCACAACGCCAGGCCGCCTAAGATAGACGTCTCAAACGCGCCGTCGTGCGCGACCACCCCTCTAACGACGGCGAACGTGCTCCAGGACTCTACCGTCTCCACCGTGATGAGCGGCAAGCAACATCACCCGGCGAGGGAGGTCGTCACCGTCCGCACGCCCCTCATCTCGACCCAAGAAAGCTGCGTATAGGGACGCGATTCCGACGCGCTCAACGTCAACGAGTACTACGTCTGATATGGCCGCCGACTCGTGACGATCGTGCGCGTCTTCGTGGCCGACCTTTCGATTCCTTAGAATTTTGCGCGGCGCTCTCTTTAAAGTAAAACGTCCTCGAATTCTCGGGAAAAGATATCTCTATACGAATGTGAATTATACGTTTCGTTCGGCTGCGATGTGATCGTCTCGTTCTCCGGGAGATACGAGACAATTTCGCCGACGACCACTGCCAGGTCTATTACCAATGATCGAACTACTAGACTTTAGTAAAGGATTCGCACGAACATGCATAAAGAATCACAAGGATAATGAGAGAAAGCCAAATGCTTTCGTTGAATGCAACCTACTCACGATTTGCAATCCTATCGAGATAGCTAATTTAAATATTCAAAACTGCCCAAATAATTTTAATGAATATATATCAAAAGATTCCTCAATATATCGGATGCAATAAATGAATTTCTTTAATCCGAGATATTGTGTATTATATATTCGCAAAACAATATACATATAAGACAAATATTACATATATTAAACAAAATCTCTGAAAACATATCAGGATTATTACTGCCGAATTTCTAAAGATTCCAAGAATTGTGTTTATCTTCGATGAGAACTAAAAATATTATGTACAAGAAAAAAAGTTCCAAATTACAGAAAGAACACACTTGAGAAATTTATCTTATAATTTAAAAAAAAAAAAAAAAGAGTATAAGAACGTATATCCTAAATCGATCGAGAACGTCGAGCACGGTGGCGAAACGAATTTATTCACAAGAGAATCGTCATTCTTATATGATCCTTTTGATCTCGGGAAATACCGGTGTCTAAAAATCCACGAAACCATGGAAAATTCCATTGGTTGACCGAAAAGCCGATGAAGTGGAGAGAAACATGTCGAAAAATCTAGATTTCCACATTTCGCGGGATGTTCGTATCGCGAGAGGCGATGTACCTATGTCTCGCGACGGCGAATGTAGATTTTCTATCCCAAGAGTATACTTTGTATTACAAAGTAGGTATGGGAATAAAGAAGATCGTCGCGCGTTGAGTGTATTTTCGTAAAATGGCGCGTCTTTATCGATATGCTCCCTTTCTCCTTCTCTCTCGGAGTACTGTGTATCGTGTCGATTACGTCGCGACGATAAATTTCGAGTACGGGAAAGATCCGCGCCGGGGAGAGGATCAATCTATTCCGCGAAAATCCTCAAAAATATTTCCGCGTTGCGACACGGAACAAGTGCGCCGCATAGAACACGACAGCGTTACGATAATCCGACGTGAAGATTTTCTCTATGTCGGACACGTTCTCTTCCTTTTGTCGTTACCGCGGAATTTCCAGTTCCAAAAATACTCGCAATTTTATGAACTATCCAATATCCGCATCGATCGAATCCCATAAATAAATTCATGCTCGACCAATAAAGATTTTGTCTCCTCGTACAATATCAGTATAATTATCAAGAAAATAATTAATCGATTAATCAGTCAAATCATGCTGCTGTTGAATGATTGATCGATTCTCCCCAAAAAAAGCATACATATAATTGCTTCCGTTGTATGTGGCATGTTACAGTTAACAATTTCAGATGTGTCACGTTGACGTGAGATTAATTAAATCTCAGTTTGTGTATCGACATTTATTCTGAATTATTTTCAGTTCGCCGCACGCTATGGAAACTTGCAAGGTAAGAATAAATTTCCTGATTATAAAATAAGCGGAACTATCGATCCTTCTTTCTCGCGCGGCTCGTTCGCTTTATCTTTTCATCATTCTAGTCTATTTACACGAATTTTCTCTTATCTAACGCGCGACGTGTGAATAATATTCGCGCGGAAATTTCGCAAAAGTCGCATTTCCACAATAACTCGAGAAAGAATTTTCCCTTCGTAATGACCTGACACACATTCTCATAAGATATTGTAAATAATAACTTTTCCTCGAGGACGAGGACACGAAATATAAATTTAGATTAATTATCGAAATTATATCGTGTGCGTTAATAAAGAGCCTACTCGCGCTCCGAAAACATGTATATTAATTCTAATTACTAAACGTACCTTGTACACTGCGCATCGTTCAATAGCGACGCGAGCATCCATACATAATTCCATTTAGTTCAAATGGAAGATATTTTGCGACGGGATCGTCATTCGTGAATAAAGAGACAATAACGTTGCAGGATTGTTGAGTTAAAAGCGGCTTACGAACGGTCAATTACATCGCGCTATATTATTCGAACTTGATTGACATTATTTGAGTTTCTTGAAATATCGCAAATAATATTTTATTTTTCATTCGATTATCAATTTTTTATATTTCCTTTTAAAACAAGCTTATTTGTGTCATCACGTATATCGAAGCTGGTTATTCAAATTTATAATTTGAAGAGTACTAGTATGGTACGGTAAAAATCAGCGATCGAAAATAGCGCATGGAAAATGAGTAAAAAATACATTTGAAAATAATTTGTTATCTATATGCATGGATCCTTTATACGAAACCTGCGTTTAATTTATATCAAATCACGCGATATCAAATACGATGTAATTCATCGTTTAGCAGCCGATTATATCTTCACTTCGCGTCGATCCCTTAAAAAAAAAAAAAACATACTGCCGCGACGTACATTATTTTACGACGAAATCTTGTGGACAGACCTGTCCTATAGGACTGCCAAACGCACACAACTGCCATGTCACTTTTATTTTCGCAAGAAGTTTAACGTCGAAAATAACAAAGAATTATCTCGAGAGGAGTATCTTTCGCGCGTCGCCGTACGTTGTGCACCGTACAAATGTACACGCGTGTACATCTTAGAGATATATACATATTATTGATCCTCATCGTCGTGTTCACACGCAGCGAAGACGGAATTGTAAATAACTTGTACATAAGGACACATCGAGAAAAGAGAGACTTTATTCGCGAGAGATGCTCGAGATTAAACCCCTACGTCTTCTTTGAGGGACGACAACAGAACAGGCACACGAAGGATCGTTATCGACGGATCCGTTAACGATATTACAAGAGCTACGTACGCTCCCAGGAAAATTGTATCGAGCATTATTGTCTTGCCGGTCCAAGGGAAAGGAAAGATACAATGATTCTAACGCGCGCGAATCCCGTTCTTTCTGTTTTCAAAAAATTTTATAATTTTTATTCGAGATGATTATTTATATTCAGTTTCTTGTCTCATATAATTCGAATGTACGTTTTTTAACGATTGTTATAAAAAAGAATAAAAATCTTTATCGTTCCTTCTCGTGGCTAACCGATATTAAACGTACGACATAAAATTCGTTATTGATCGTCGTTGTCGTCGTCGGCCGAGGAACGCGAAGAAAGTCGACGTGACGAGCGTTCCTTCGTGCGTACCATACGCCCCTTCGTAATTTGTAAGATATATGCTCCGATGTACAGCGCCAAGATATTTTTTCAGAGTGTGCGTAATACAATACCTCCGCGTATATCGTCAAGTCTTGGGCGCCCAATTAGGCGAGGCCCGTTTAAAGAGCGGGCGGGACTGTATAATTAAACGATCGGATTGCGATTAATGGTCAGACAAAGAACTAAAGATATATGTATATGTACGTATGCGCATGTGTGCCTGTGTGTATGTATGCTACGTGAGCGTAAATCTACCTTTCGCCGTGTGTATGCGACTATGGTAGTTCTGCGAAGTCGAGGATTAAGAGTAATAAAAAAAGAGATATATATGCATGTGTGTGTATGCGTGAGTATGCGCTATTTCACGATTTTCTCACGTAATTTATAGTGTAGAAAAGAACAAATTGCGCATTAATTCTTCCACGCTTTATTTGAAACTTGAACATTTTTGTTACTAATCGACAAGCATCGAAACATGTGTGCTCTATCTTAATATTATATATTTAAATATGTTATTTTTTTTTTTAAATATTAAACATACTCGCGCCTTGCTTTCCATTAGAATTTTGCAGCTATTTCGCAATAAAGAATTTTTCAAGAATTTAAGAATGAAAGGGTTGAGACGAGACGAATCTTTTTCTTTTATGTCCGGCGCTCGAACGAGATCGAAGTGGACGGAGAAAAGAAAATTATACCTTGAGTGCTCCAATCAAATCTCCGTTAGATCAATTTTCTTTCCAACTCAAAAGATATATATATCAAACTATACTGCTTAACTGTATTCTTCTTTTTCTATATTCTGTTCTTGTGCGTTATACTATTTGACATACATATAAAATTATATACATATATATATATATATATATATAATTTTTTATTTTGACATATAATAATACAATTTTTTTACTTATATATTTCTTTGCAGAAGAATTCCTGCACACAATCACGACTAAAAATACTTTAAGTTAAAATCCTTTCTATTGTCCTCAAGAGAAATAAAATCCAAGAGATCGTTCTTATGCGACAACTCGAATAAAAAAAAAAAAAAAAAAATATTTTGACATTTGATCAATACAATGCACTTCAGTTCGATGAAGTTATAACTACGCGTACCATGTACAACGCATACAATAGTCTGCAGTGCAATAGCTGCAGTGTAAATTCACTCGATGCGTACACCGGATGTATATCTGTACACATACATAAAAGTTCGATTGGCGGCGTCCTTCCGGTTTCGCAGATATTTTAAGCACGCGCCCCGTTAACGATCACGCGCCGGTTCTCCTCCACATGCGCGTCTCCTTCGTACATTCTTGTTTCTCGCATGCTACAATACATTCCACGTTTCCTGTCAAATACCGCGGGCCGCGTTTCAACGCCGCGAAATTTTCGACGGTGATAAGGAAACGACTGGACCGCGGAATTTCGCGACGCAACCCAATTCCGTATTCTGGCATAGAATGAGCGATTGCAAGCCAATACACATCGTTATACGACTTGCGTGTTTCCGACTACCTGCAATGTTTAAGTCAAATGTCATTGCACGTGGACAGAGTTCAGATTACTTCTCGATAAATTGAAATATCGCCACTCTGTGTGTGTATATTTCGTGATAATCACATTTGATAAAATCGGTACAAATAAGAAAGCGAACTGAATTAAAAATTTATTGCTAAAATATTGATTATCATTTTTGAGGATATCACGATATTTTGATTTAAATACCGGATTTTTTTTAACATTAAAAACTTTATTAATTTTCTTTGATTTCTTCTATATATTTTATCATGTGTAATAGAGAGATTATATTGTCTTCATTGCATGACATTCTGACGTGAGACATATTGTATTATGTTTTCGCTAACAAATCGCCATGAATTAATTACTCATTGTCCAAAGTCTTGTTCCGATTAAAATCACGCTTTTCAATTGATCAAAGCACGCGAAAAAGCAGACAACCCGCGCGAAATTTCAGTAAGAACCGACCGTTAGATCGCTCATTCGAATAGACACGCTCATTCGTTTCACCGCAGCCTCCGAAGTAGCAAAGTTGCGCTTTGTATGTCGTGTCTGCATTGCGGCGTACGTTGCATCCGTGGCGAGGGAAATCTCGAGGGCAAAAGTGGCCCGGGCCGATGTCTCGTGCCAGTTTCAAAAGAAATCTTCTCTCTCCTCCTCGCTATACGAAATCTCTATGCCGGCTTATCGAATCTAAAAGTCAATTCTTCTCTCCGCGGCGTGAAATCTATTAACCTGTACGAAAGCGTCAAAAGCTCTAATAAAGCCCTCAAAAGTCCCTTTTTTTTTTTTGTAGCGGAATATTCATTTACTCCGCGCCCGCACGTATCACTCGCCGCGATAACCTCGCCGCATCAATCCCGGACTTCCCGGAATCCGTAATACATCCCCTATCCCGTAGTACAGATATTCCGATGCATTCTCTTGAATATCTATCGGATATCGAAGTGTATCACGACAATGTCCGAATTTCCGCGTATTACGGAGAATGAACATTAATTACCTATTATACGTCACACGAAAAATTCGAGCACGTTCGAGCGCGTCGCACACTGGCTTCTTCTGTTCTGTTACATTGCAATATTATTTCACGATTTTAATTATTGTCATAATTATGAACGAATAATCAAAGAGTAGGAAAGACACAGAAAAACATCGAGTACAAAAAGATTTGGTTTAAGACGGTTTAAGATGTTAAATTGATTGACAGTGCTTCTGCAAACTCGATATTTAAAATTTTTTTTATTTTTGGCATTTAACGGTAGTATTTTTTCGCCTTCCATTCTTTGTTGACATAACTGCGTTCCTTTCTATGCGAATAACGTGAATTGTGCGACAAGAAGTCTGGCGAATCGCGCGTGTATGTTGAATTGTACATAATCTTCTGATCGAATAAACGTATGCGTGCTCGTTTGTACATTCTTCTGTAAAATCGCGATTTGCGTGTCTGTGAGTGCGAATGTTGCGTGAGATTTCACCTGACGAGCCTGACGAGAGAAACGCGAGCGTGTCAAATATTGAAATTGCGATGACCATACTACGTGTATCTACAATAATTATAGATCTCTCTCTATAAATATATACACACCTCAACGTAATCAGAATAAACGTGTTGATATGAAAAATGACGAGATGAGAAGCGCTTGCCGATCCTTGGACGACTTTAAATAATCCGAAAGTGCATATGTCGAAATTTTTCACAATTATCTGTGCGTGATAGCACGACTTTATATGATACAATATCTTAATTTTTTTATTTCCGGCGCAGGAATTTAAAGTCAGCCAACGTTCGACAGAACTAATTTATTACCATCTTTGCAAAACTCTGTGAAAATTCATCTTTGTAATCTGATTACAGGTGAGTATATTGCCGATATTATTCATTATTTCTTTTAGATTGCGAAAAGGCCCATCTCTTGATGATATAACAGATAATAAAATTTTGCTGTACGTCCCGGCCAATTACGTAATGTACATCCGCATTAGATATTCCAGAGTAAAAACGGCGGGGTAGTATGGATAATAAAGCAGGCGAAATTAATACTGCGTATTACACCACGGCGAAATTAGAAGCGGCGCTGCCGTATAACGAACACACTTTGTCGCATTTCCTCCTATTAATTACGCGGGGCTCGAAGCACTGAGAGCTAGAGACGCCGAGTTTCATTATTTCATTTATTATGCACCTATATGGGCGGGCGCGCGCGCACACGATAATGTGTAATCTACTCTCGGGAAGGCAGGATTACGAGAATAGAGCGAGGTGAGAATTCGCAGAGCTCCGTGAAGGGGGGTTACCTTGCCGCTTCTGGCTCACCTAGATATATATATATATATCGGCCGAAACGACCTTCACGTGCCTCTCCTCTTTTCCGCCAATCCAGTTTCCCCGACACGTGCGAGCCTCCCGCGAGTCCTCCGGTGATAACATAAATCCCGGATCGTTCCGACAGCATCTCTCCGCACCGGCCTTTCGTCTCTCTCGCCAATTGTCTGCCGGCCGTTTCTCGCGAACTGGCGTTTACGTCGGGCGCGGAGACGCGAAATTGCGAACGAGTAATTAAAAAATCGTCGGGAGAAAATCTTTCTCTCTCTCTCTCTCTTCGTTTTCTCTTTCGCGCAACCATTCCATCGTGGAAGAAGGTGGTAACGAAAAGTACGCCGTTGTCTCTCCTGCCCTCCCTCCCTCCCTCTTCCCTTGCCCGTCTCTGCCGCAGCTTTATTGCTTCTGGGATTTACAGAGCGCAATGGTAGATAGCCGCGTTTGATTATCTCGGTTTCGTTGACTGCTTTCGCCGACCGAGATTCATATTTCACTGTTCCTCGGTGCCGACCCTCGCTCGGCTCGATGTCGCGCTAACGTAAAATTCAACTGGCGTAAAGCCTGGCTTCAACGATATGATTTCACGTGACTTTTCTTTCCGATAGAGTTACACAAACACACATAGGTATACATGAGATACGTGCGTTTCATCTGGTTTTGAATCGAATAATTTTTTTGCGGGAAGATTCGTATACGAAGCTCGTACTTGTTAAAAATATTTAGCAGTTACAACGAATTACTATTTTATTGCGTAATACGTCTAAAATAGTCGAAAAGCTTGATCAACGATTTCATTTCAAACCGCTTCTCGAAGCGCGGTAATTCCAACAAAATCAGAGTTATCGCTTCGCAATTTAAAAATACCACGAATAAATTCCGCTTGATAGTTATTGTCTAAGCCCGGATCGCGGCAGTTATTAAGATTACGCGCTCTGGCGCGAGTGGAGGATTTTACTAGAGTAGGCGGGTAATAAGGGCACTGACGTGGCAAGTCGACGAAGTCAAGCGTCTCACCACGGAAATCCGAGCTCCGGTTATTACTGAAAACTTATTAAGTACACGTCGGATTTCTCTTTACTTTCCGCGATGACAACGCGGCAGGGTATTAAGTTACGGTCTCTCTCTCTCTGCCCGCTCGCCGTGGAACGAGTTTTCGAGCTTTGCTCTCTCGGAGAAACTGGGATTTTGTTCGTTCTATGTGCATCTTTAAAAATTTTCCAGTAATTTCCCCCTCCCTCTCTCCCTTCACCGCCGCGTACACAATCGTGCATAATCGCGAGCCGTTGACACGAACGGCACGAATCGAAAATCGTTTGGGACTCCGATTATACGGCGCGTCCAGCGTAAACTTTTTCCACTGACGAGTGATAAATTCAGGCGTCAAAGGATTTTAAACACAGGCGACCGGTTTGTTAGTAGCACGCGCAACGTAATTACGTCCAAAGTATAAGGGCAGTGTTATACGCGCGCGCTAGTTAAATAAATAGCTGCACTTTTTAATTAACCTTGAAGTGTCGCGTTGGAAGCGAAAAAAACAGGACGCGATTCATTATTCAATTTGTACTGCAGTTCATACCGAGAGCCCGGCGAGCCCTGTCAATCCGGCGAGAGAATCGCGTTACGCGAATTTGCAATTTATTTTGTTAAAACAACAAATTGGATCGCCAAATGACAACCGCTTTTTGATACGACATATGTGTATGCGCGTTGCACACAAATGGAAAACAATCATATTGGTGTCGTTTTATTTGTTAAATCGATAAACATATTTATTTCATTGGAAATATCAAAAATTGTGGCAAGTGTATAATATCTTGTAGCTACATGCATTCAAAGTGCAGTCAAATTTTCGTTTGTCTTTTGACATATTAAAAAATTGACACCAAAAATGAAACATAAATCAGCTATATATAAATATTTATATCCGTGAATAATTCGTTTTATTTGCATATTGACAAATTATAAAGAAATTGTTATTATTTGCGATTATTATTATTACATTTATCGATTTTTTTGCCGTATAATAAAAGAATATAGAAAAAAGCGAAAGATACGCTCTGAGTGATTATATTGACGAAAATTGATTGTTGACCCATTTGCATTTCATCACGATTATATGAAACAAAACACAATTATCAATCACAACAATAAAAAGCGTTCAGATATTATTCATTGAAATATATATATATAATATTTAAAATACACGTGCGCGTAAATCTCCAGCTAAAACTTGAAATAAATATTTAAGTAAAGAGAAGAATAAATCGCTTATCCGGCTCGCACCCCACATTTGCGGCCCTCTAGAGGACCGTTATCCTTTATTTGTTTCATTTTAGCGCATTTATAATCGCTGAAGTGAATTTCGCGACGTTTCGCACTGCGCAAGTCGACCAGCGCAAAAACCCCGGCTATGTGCTTCGGAGTTAATTAATATGCCAGGGTAAAATATATATGCACGAGTCATGAGCCAGTTGCACGTACGTACCGTGTCGCAAAAGTACCAATAATTCGTGAGGGAAGTGGTAGAAGGGGCATTCCCTCGTTCGAGAGATAAAATATGCCGCCATCGTTCTGAGGGCGCTCCAAATTATGCAAGTAGTCTTTAAATTCGCGACTCACATACGGAATTCAGTGAAGCCAAGTTTCGAATACTCACACGATCGAGCAGAAAAACAACGCTTACCGAGATTTTTTGAATATTATTTTTCATCTTGAAATAATTAACGTTATAATGCAAATAACAATACGGATTTATTTATGCTCGCGCATTAAAAAATGTGTACGCATAACAATATTTTTCTATATAATTACATATTTCATATATTTCATTTAATTTTAATAATTAAAAATTAATTAAGATTAATATTACATATTTTCACTTTTAAATAAAAATAATAAAATTTTAGTTCATATAAAATCAAAGCTTCTGTACGTAAAATTTAGTTACGCGAGCTTTCTATTGTATCATTATTTTAATACATTTCTGCCATTTGCACCATTATACTTTTATGCAATTGACTGAATATAATTTCGTATATTTTTCATTAGCTATTAATGAGATATTTCAAATATTGGAAATTTAAAATAAAAAAAACGGAGTAATTTACTATTTTCACATTATATAATATAACGAATATCATCATACAGCGTGCTTAATTAATGTAGTCCGTAGTGTTATTATTATTATTATTATTATTATAGAACCTGCGAGTTGTAATCCGCATTGAAAAAGTTTACGGATTAATATCTAATTCAATGTGGTGAAATATTTACAGATAAGACACTACCTTCGCTGCAATTTCCCTGAAGTTTCATGGAGTATGAGCCTCATAATATAAAATTTTTAATGATGAACGATGATGATAGCCGAAGCTCTCCGTCCCTTCATTTTCCATGACAATTTATTTTCTCCATTTTTACGAAAATTACGTAGCTGGTAGAAATATCGGGAAGCGTGAAACGTCGACGGTGAGTATATTCTTACGATAGTGTTCTACTTTTTCATTTTTTGACTGAAGAATGACTGGTTAGAGAGAGAGAGAGAGAGAGAGAGAGAGAGAGTAATGCTTCTATTACACACCATCGTAATTGGCTTCGTAAGCAAATCGATAAATGCATCCGGTACTTCATAGGGTAGAGAGAGTTTGAAACAAAAAAAAAAGCCTGTCAATTTTTCGTGCAACGTTGCACCGTCGGCACAAGATAAATGTTTGTCTACTTTTTTCAAAACAAAAGGCAGACAAAAGGTAACGCGTTATACTCACCACGAAACTTTTTCACAGATTCTAAAAAAAAAGTTTAATGATGCTTTTACTTTTAGTATGTTTAAATAAAATTAATGTTTTAAATATGCATATATATTTAATTTTTCATGAATTCTATCATTATATCGAGAATGTGTATTATATCAGATATAAAGAAATTAATTTATATAAAACTTTTAATAAATTTTACTTCCTTTTATATAGGCTCATACATAATGTATTATAAAAGTTTTAATAATGTTTAAAGTATTTGTTATATTAAACAAAACAAGGCCAAATAGATATTTCATGAGATCTTTAATTAAATTCTTTCCGGAATGGAAAACGGCAAATATTTTGCGGAACAATTTGATCTCACTATTCTGACAGTTAACCGTCCGTTCCGCTCACCGCTAACCGCCCATTAACGTCGCGTGTTTCTAATGCCAATCGTACGTTCATATTACTGCTCGTAACAACGCGACGACAGTCGTGACTCTGTGTCGTTTCAGACTATATAACGCGAGACATGATTTAAGTATTAACGCGCGTTCATGTC